AGTTATGTTGGGGTAATGGTAGTTGCTTGACCGTGCAACCTAATGGTTACATGTTCGATCCCAGGAGAGCAATAATGTTTTTTGTTCAAGTCCCAGAGTATGCTATTTTAAAATTTTTAGTTTTTCCCAAACAATCTCTTCTTCCCTTAAACGAATCAAGTATAAATTTTGGGCTTTTGAATACTAGCATGCAAAAATTAATTAGCCCAATTAATCGGACTTTATTAGTCTAAAAAATGTATTAGTTCAATTGATTGAGTTATTTGAACATTGTCCTAAAAAGTAATTAGTTCAATTCATTGGGCTTTTGAATATTGGTCTGAAAAATTAATTAGTTAACACATTGGGTTTGGTAGGTAAAAATAAGTTTTTTTTACATAGAGTATAGATTTTAGAGTTAAAAAATTCGGTTTATCTGGTTTCCGAGAAACTGACCTAAAAATTGGCACTAAACATTTGGGTAACTCATAAAACTTCGGTTAGATATCTATGAGTTTAAAGATAATTATATTGTCGGTTCTATAATATTTACTTTTTCCTTCGACATTTCTATAATACTAGTATTATTATACTACATTTTAACATTTTTTATAATATACGTTATTTAATTAAATTTTGGCCCCACATGAACGTAAATGCTAGATCCGCCCCTGTACGGAGACACGACTATGCATTTGAAGACAAAGGGATTTGGAGTATTTTTTCCCGCTTTTTTAAAATAGGTTATTAACTATATTGTCAATTGTACTTCATATTTTAATTTTTTTCCCGATTGAATATTATTTATTAGAAAATGTATTTCATGTTTTAATGTTTTCTCAATTCTCAAGTGTACTTCATATTTCAAATAAATATAGTTTAAGTTTTTTATATCTTGCAAAACTTGAATTAATTTGTAAACAACATAAAACAAATCCAAACCAATCGAGACCCGATCCGATACCCACCCGGGTAGACCGGCCCGACTCGGACCTACAAGCTATCCGGGCCGGTTCGCGACTAAGCTAAAAAAGAGCCAGCCAAGGCACAGCCAAAGGCCTGACACGACCGTGCCTGGTCCATCCCTAGTTATATTGATTGATTTTACTGATTTATGAACAAATTATATTTAAAATATTTTTATTAATAAAAAAAAATTATATAAAAAATAACTAAAACAATCATCTATAATAATTTCAACCAATATAACAAAAAAAGTAACTTCAACTTACTTTTTCTTATTATTATACAATTCAACGTGACAAATCAAAAGTTATGTGTTTGATTAACAGGTTGACCAATAAACTTGATAAGCCGAAAAACAGAATTACCAAATGAACTCTTTATGTACAATCTTTTTTCTAACAATACATTCTCTAAAGTATACTACATAATACTTCCATAATAATTTATAGTTAACTAAGCTAGAAAAAGGTGGAGTATTAAAATAGTAAAAACATACCGGAGTACAAACTAAGCATACAAACGGTGGAGTCACTTTTCATTTTGATTATTAATTTCAATTTTGATAAATGAATATTTCTAATTATTAAAGTTGGTGACAACTCCGGTACCCATTTAAAAAACGGGGTACCGTATCTTCCATTCACTTGATTGGTCCACATCATTATATTATTTTTAATTTAAATTTAAATAACTCAACTGCAACATTCTCATTGGTGCATGTGGACAAAGGTATGGTATCTAATGGGTACCATAGAATCCACCATATAAAAGTTTGGCATACGTAACTTTGACAAAAAAATTAAGCATGTGTATCCATAAGTTACTTTACACTTGAATGCTTTCTTTTGAATTGAAATTTATTGGTCTTATCAGGTTAATATGTTTAAATTGGATCTGATCTGGTCTATTTAAATCTGGACTGATCTGGTGTGATCTAGGACAAAAAAAGTCTAAAAGAAAACAAAATTATAGTATACAAACGCAATGAAAAATAATTATATCACTTCATTAGATTAAATTCTTTAAATAATGGGTTGTAATAAATCTAATAGGACTTTAATACACGGGAATACGTGATGTGATACACCAAGGTAAACTCCTCCACTACCTTCCATCATATATTCAACTCTATAAATAATTAACAAATGTTGTAATCATTACCATATAAAAACAATATAATCACATAATTCTTATACCTGAAAATGGTGGTTCCTCTCCCGGTTTCCATGATCCAGTATGATTCATGGAAGAGATCTCAAATAAAAAGCAGAGTTGATCGATCTTTACGTCCAAGATTGATCACTCATTGAGATAATGTTTGTCGGGTCAATCGAAATCAACTTAGGATGTTTTTACTTGGACATTAATTTCCTGGTCTGGTCTGATCTGGTCTGGTAATGTCTGGTCTCTTTGTATTTTTATAACTATCCAAGTCTTATCTGGTCTGGTCTGGGATAGATGAAAGTCTAAGTAAAAGCATCCTTATTTTATACGAGTACATTAGAACTTATTTAAATGTTGACTTTCTTCTCAAAGCTCTAATATTGAATTTTTTTAGATTTATGTGTATTTTTTTTTAAGTTAAGGGCATAGTTAATTTTATGTTGGTTGAATATATATTAAGATCAATTTTTTTTAAATATTTTATATTAAAATATATTTAATGTAAGGGAATCATAAAATTTTTATTAACAAAACTTTGAATTTTAGGTATTAAATTAAATGTTTATCACATTCAAATTGAATTTTTGATGTTCAATTCTTTAAGCACGTACAACGTTTTAAGGTATTATTGACAAACTACACTTTCTATTATTGACAATTCGTTTAGGTATTAAATGTTAATCACATTCAAATTTACTTTTTGGTGTTCAATCCTTTAAGCATGTACCACATTTTTAACATTTAATTGTTGTAAACTTTTTATTTATCATTTTCATTTAATTTTATCTTCTCGTATATAACTATTAATATAGATTTTTTTTAGTATATAAAGAGAGAGAAAATGTGTTTTTATTGACATTCTTTTAGGTATTAAAAGATTATTATCACATTCAAATTTAATTTTGGGTGTTCGATTCTTTTAGTACCTACAATATTTTTCTTTTAACTTTACAAATTGGAAATAACAAAAATCTTCTCATATTCGTTATTTTGAGATATATTCTCAATTTTGTTCATCATACTTTCAATTTAAATTTTCAGGGGCATCACATACAATGCAGTATACCGCCCAATATATTTCTAGTGTCTCATTCCGGAAGACATTTTACGATAAAAGTTGTTATAACATCAAACAAATGAACGTTGGACGCAATGTATATGGATTTTGTTTGTGCAATTATAGTTCCAAACTTTTGTTCACTAAGTCAATGATGAACAAAAATTATACTACAAAATAATACTACATACTAAATATAAAAAACTAATATTGTGTCTAAACTAACTTTTAAATATACATTTGAATGTGATAAACATTTTAAATTTACATAAACATAGTTTTAATCTGTGGAACACAACACTTTTGCGGCTACAATATTGTGGTTGCGAGCTATACGCACCTACACCGAGCCGCAATGGCAGAGAGATTTCGATTCATAGGAAATGGCTGCAACATGGCATCATCGGTTTGCATTGGGACATAATACGTATCGAAACATCTGTAACAGCCGCAATCACGGCTATGACCGCAATTTAAAACCTTGCTATTAATTAAAGTGTAAATATATAATATATAGTGATGGTTAATTTAAAAATCATTTAACAAATACTAATTTATAATTGGTTGTGGTTAGTTCATAATTCAACTTTCTATCCTTTAAACAATTCACAATATCTATTCACAAAAAATGTATGTTTGTAGTTGAGTAAGAAAATGTAAATGATTGTTAGCTACACAAAACTTTTTATAAAGGGAAATGAGAAGAAATTTTGGGACATCCAAAAAAAGGAAGTGAGAAGAAGTTTATGGGATGAAAGTAGTACTATCCTCCGTACGGTTTTAACTCACATCGGATTGACGAGCTACCGGGGCATGCCCCAGGCTTTACACTAGTTGAACTAATACGTTTTTTAGACTAATAAAGTCCATTACTGCTCTCCCTGGGATCGAACATGTAACCTCTGGGTTGCACAGTCAAGCAACTACCATTACACTAACATAACTTTTGTTTACATAAATACATTTTCATTTCTTATACCATGTCTTTACAGCACATATATAATATACACACATATATATAATTATATACATACATACTAGTAATTTTTTTAGGTTGGGCCTAGGCCCTCCCTGACCATATGCCAGATCCGCCCCTGTCTCCGTATCCATGCGAAATTCCCAAACAAATTTTCTCGTTACAATGGTAGCAAGTTGCCCACCCCATTATACTTGTCTTTCCTTCCATTTCATGTGATTGTTTTTCATAAGGAGAGATTGACCTTTCTTATCATTTCCGTCCTCGTCGGGTGTTTCCTTGTCGGGGTTTGCTGATGGCCTTGTACCTCTTTAGGTGTTTCCTCGTAAAACGCATCTCTCCGGTCATAATTTGTGTCAAAATCATTTCAACGGCTTTTTATCAAAGAGGTAAAAAAAGATCTGTGGAGTCGTGGAGAGGAGTGTGCACTAAGGATGTTTTTACTTGGAACGAAATTTTTCTGGTCTGGTCTATTAATGTCTAATATATGTGTAATTTATAACTATTCAAGTTTGATTTGGTCAGGTTAAAAAACGGTGCAAGTAACTAGGCCTTGCGAAAAACTTTAGGTGGCCATCTCCGACCTCTTGCGAGATATGTTTTTTAGCTTTTTCTTTACAATCAACAGAAGTCTTTGAACATGCTGTCATTCTTTTTCTATGTTTTTCGCTCTATTAATTTATAATTTCGAAAGTCTTGGTCCAATTTCTTCTTTGGCAAAAGTTTTGTCTGTTTTAGGTGAGCGTACGATATGTTTTTTTCCTAACGATGTTAGAGGATGTGTGTCGGTGTAATCAATCTGATACATTTTCATTGCCCGTGTTTGGCAAAAAAATCAACTTTGTTATTCAGCAAGTCATGGGCTGAGCACCGAGAACAGTTGGACCTGGAGAAGAATCAGTTCAGAGCTAATAGGAAAAAGTGCACATTCGGTCGACCGCAGGTGGAGTACTTAAGGCACATTATTTCTCAAGCGGGGGTAGCCATGGATCCAGCCAAAGTCAAGGCAGTGGTGGAGTGGCCACAACCGAGATCTGTCCGGGAGGTCCGGGGATTTTTGGGACTGACTGGATACTATAGGAGATTCGTGAAGGAATATGGATTAATTGCACGGCCGCTCACGAAACTTTTGAAAAAAGAGGCATTAGCTCAGTTCCAGTGGTCTGCAGAGGCCGAGGTGGCTTTCTGTCGACTCCAGAAAGCATTAACTGAAGTACTTGTGTTAGCCATGCCCCAGTTTGACGGACAATTTGTAGTGGAATGCGATGCATCTGGAACCGGGATTGGAGCGGTGCTTATGCAAGAGCGACGACCGATTGCTTATTTTAGCAAATCATTGGCAGACAGGACGCTGTCCAGATCAGCCTACGAGCGGGAGATGATGGGATTAGCATTAGCCGTGCAACATTGGCGGCCGTATCTCATCGGGCAAAAAATTGTGGTGCGCACTGACCATAGAAGTCTCAAACATCTGCTCACTCAGCGCATAGCGACTCCCTCTCAGCATGTTTGGGTGGCAAAATTATTGGGTTATGACTTTGAGATTGAATATAAGACAGGTAGTTCTAACGCAGCAGCAGACGCCCTGTCTCGAAGAGGGGAAGAATTGGAACTAGTTGCAGTCAGCGTGCCAGAGTGGCTGGGTCTGGCCAACATAGAAGAGGAGCAAAAGAGAGATACAATTTTGCAAGAAATTATTCATACACTGGCAATTGATCCGACGAAGGTACCAGGTTATGAAGTAATTGGGAGGCGACTGTTCTTCAAGGGTCGATTGGTCCCGCCTTCTGTTTCTAAGTAGATTCCCCGGCTGATGAAAGAATTCCATGACACACCTGCAGGAGGTCATGCTGGTGCACTCCGGACATACAGAAGGCTAGCGATGAATGTATTTTGGAGGGGAATGTTCCGTCAGGTACAGGCCTATGTTGCACAATGTTTGGTATGTCAAAAAGCCAAATATGAGGCGATGTCACCGGCTGGGCTACTGCAGCCCTTACCTATTCCCAGCTTGATTAGGGAAGATATTTCCATGAATTTCATCACTTGTTTGCCCAATTCGAAAGGTTATACATCTATTTTGGGGTGGTGGTGGACCGATTATCCAAGTACGGGCATTTTATTGCCCTAAAATCCCCAATCACAGCGCGCTCAGTGGCAGCCGTGGCAGAGGTATTGGGCAGCAGGGATGTCATGTTAAAACGGCTAAAAGAGACTCTAGAGAAAGTACAACAGAGCATGGTGACCCAAGCTAATAAACATCACCGCAGCGTGGACTTTCAGGTTGGGGATAAGGTGTTTTTGAAGGTTAGGCCTCACCGGCAGACTACTATATTTCGCCAGCCTTGCCAAATTCTATGGGCCATTTTTAATCGAAGCACGAGTTGGGGCAACCGCCTACCGGCTAGCATTGCCATCTAACAGCCGTATCCATCCGGTTTTTCATGTGTCTCAGCTGCGGAAGGTAGTCAGTGATCATCCGATAGAGAGTGAGCTGCCAGAAAGCTTGGAATTGCCAGTCACTCCAATTTTCGAGCCGGAGGAGATATTAGCCACCCGAAAGCAAAATGATAAAGAAGAAGAGCTATTAGTAAAATGGGCTGGGCAGCCTATTGACGAGGCAACATGGATGAATAGAGAAAGTTTCTTGGACCAGTTTCCTGATTTCAACCTCGAGGACAAGGTTCTTTCAAGGGAGGATGAAGTTGATAAGGAGCAGGCTGGGGCAGCCGGTCAGCGGGCAGATGCGACCGAAGGAGAGCCGGGCCCCAGGCCCTTGATAGTCTACCGGAGGCGGGCAGGGGACTGAGCCCACCTTCGTGGGCTGGCTATTTCAGTGGCTTTAATTAATCAGGAGTTTCCTATTTATTATGTTTCCTATTTTAAGTTAGTTTCCTAATATGTTTTTGTTAGGAGTTCTACCTTAATTAGAACTAGTAGGCTATTTATACCCTTAATAGGGTTATTTGAACTATGCTGAATTATTAAATAAAGTTGGTATTTTAGCTTTAAGCTTGGGCAACGGTTGCTTCCGTTGATTGTTATTTTCCTGCTCTCATCAGTATTCTTTTCAATGAGATTGTTTTCGTCTGTTATTTTGCATGAGAGTTTATAGCAATTTGGATGGATATCAGTGATCTAATTTGAAGTTCCTCAACCCCAAATTCCTTTATCATGCACTGAATCTTGTAGTAAACTAGTTGTTGGGATATTGATCCAGAGGCCCAATACCCGGATCAAGAAGGCTCAAGATACCCGGCCCAAACGACGAGCCCATCACTCTATGATGAGTAGATCCAGTGAAGAATTCATGCCGAACGAGATTCGACCCAAGTAAGGGTTGGCCCAGTAAGAAGATATACCGAACGGCGTTCGGGCTATATATCATACTTGGGCCAATTTGACAGCGTCTTCAGCATGGCCCAACATCCCGTTCGAGCAACGGACAACCGGCAAGTGGCCAGGTGCAAGTAATGCCAGATTGTGACATCAGCAAGTGGAAACATGGGTGACCAAGCCGGTGGAACAACAGCCAATCAGCATAGAGCAGTCCATGCTCTCCATTAGTATAAATAGAAGGTTTAAAATCATTGTAAGGGTTAGTTACTTCGGATGGTGTGTTTTGCTATATTGTCATGCCATTCAGATTAAAGAACGCAATGACAACTTTTCAAAGGATGATCGGGATGCTGTTCAAAGAAGTGTTGGGGGTCACAATGGAGGCTTATGTTGATGATATCCTGATCAAAAGCAGGAAGAAGGAAAATCATGTCCTGGACATAGAAAAGGTGTTCGGGATAATGCAGAAAGCGAACATGAGGCTGAATCCCAAAAAGTGTGCTTTTACTGTAAGAGGGGGCAAATTTTTGGGATACATGATGAGCGAGAAGGGGATTGAGCCCAATCCTGAAAAGGTAAAGGCAATTGTGGATATGGAGGCTCCCAGAAATCTCAAAGAAGTACAGAGATTGACTGGTCGGTTAACAGCTCTGAGCAGATTCCTATCCAAGCTAGCCGATCGAGCTATTCCATTTTTCCAGATCATGAAGAAAGCTAACCCCTTTGATTGGACGGCCGAATGTCAAACGGCCTTTGAAGATTTCAAGACATATCTGTCTTCCCCCTGGTCTTGACAAAACCCGAACCAGGGGAACATCTATATATGTACCTTGATGTAGCAGACCTGGCCGTGAGCACGGTACTGTTGAAAGAAGAGATTGTCGTTCAACGGCCAATCTATTTTGTAAGCAAGGCTTTGAACGGCCCGGAAACCAGGTACACCTTGCTAGAGAAAACAATGCTGGCCCTGATAGCTGCCATTAAACGTCTGGCACCATATTTCCAGACCCACCCGGTAACTGTGTATACTACTCAGCCACTCGCCACCATCTTGAGAAATCCGATGGCAAGTGGACGCATTACCAAGTGGAGCCTCCTGATCGGGCAATATGAGGTGGATTTCAAGCCTCGGCCTACTATCAAAGGACAGGCCCTGGCAGATTTCATTGCAGAATGTACTGCCCGACCCTCAGAAACAGACTCAGAGAACAATGGGCTGGATAACTGGTGGGAAATGTATGTGGATGGTGCAGCTAGTGCCAAGGGTTGTGGAGCTGGAGCTGTGATCACATCGCCCGAAGGTTTCAAAGCATATTATTCCATCCATTTTGACTTCAAAGTAACCAACAATGAGGCTGAGTACGAGGCCCTTATTGCTGGTTTAAAATATGCAAATGCCCTGGGTGCCGATCGGTTAAAAGTCCGGTCGGATAGTCAATTGGTGGTACATCAAGTAAACGGCACTGCTGAGACTAAAGAAGAGAGAATGAAGGCTTACAAAGAGATAGTTGAGGAGCAGATAAGCAAATTTGAACAGGTGGTGCTCGACCAAATATCCAGGATAGAGAATACTGAAGCAGATATCCTATCCAAGTTAGAAAATGCAGCGTTCGACGATCGGGCACAGGAGATCCCGGTTCATATCCAACGTTTTGCCCATCGGGAAACATTGGCAACCCCAGCAATCATGGTGCTCCAGATCAAGGCCATATCTTATGCCGTCCCTAGCTGGGTCATAGATATGACCAACTACCTGAAAGACAGAACCCTCCCACAAGATAAAAATCCTGCTTATCAGATAAAATGCATCCAGAGGAGGGCTTCCATGTTCGAATTAGTGGATGGACAGCTGTACAAAAAGATGTTTGGTGGGCCGTATTTGAAATGCCTCCCACCCGATCTAGCGGCGGCCGTAATGGAAGAAATTCATGAAGGTATTTGCTCCAGCCACCAAGGGCTCAAGACACTGGCCAGAAAAATCATCCTGCAAGGGTATTATTGGCCGACTATCCAACAAGACTGCTTTGCACATACTAGAAAATGTAAAGTATGCCAACTGTACGCACCGGTCCCCGGACGGCCGGCCACTTTCTACACTCCAATGACGGTGGTCCTTCCATTTGCAAGATGGGGGATCGACCTGTTACGTCCTCTACCTACGGCCCCTGGAAACAACAAATATATCATCGTGGGGATAGATTACTTTACCAAATGGGTAGAGGCCGAACCACTGGCCAGCATCACAGATGTCAAATGTCAAAAGTTTGTCTGGAAAAATATCATTTGCCAGTTTGGAATCCCTGAGCAGATTGTAACTGATAATGGAAGGCAGTTTGTGAGCCGGAATTTTGAGAACTACTTGGTCAAATGGGGAATCAAACATTCCAGAGCATCCGTGGCATACCCTCAAGCGAATGGCCAAGTAGAGAATATGAATCGTACTATCATGGATGGTATGAAGAAGAAGCTGGAAGAATACTCCTCATCGTGGCCTGATCAGTTGAATTATGTTTTATGGACTTACAGGACTACACCCCGAACGGCCACGGAGAAACTCCATTTGCCCTTGCTTATGGTTTCCAGGCCAAAGTACCAATGGAGATCCTAGTTCCCACACACCGAACGGTGCATTACAGCCAAGAACAGAATGAGGACAACCTACGGACCGAATTGCATTTCATAGAAGAAAGAAGGGATCTGGCAGCTGCACGAATGGAAGAGTATCACAGAGCCACGAGAAGATACTTTGATAAACAAATAAAAATCCGTTCAATCGAGGTAGGGGACCTGGTGCTAAGAAAGCGAGAAAAAAGCAAACCTCTCGAAGGTGGGAAAATGGCACAAAATTGGGAAGGCCCCTACCAAATATGGAAGAAGTATGCTTCAGGAACGTTTGTCCTACAAAATACCGAAGGTCGACCGGCAGGCACATGGAATACGGAACATCTAAGGAAATTTTATCAGTAAAAACGACTGTTGCCACCTCTGGAAAAAAATGTATATGTATAGAGAGGGAGACATAACTTCCAGAAAATCTCAGCCCATGGTTAACACGATCATTCCGGATGACCGAATGATGAACGGGTTAACAACATGGAAGGAAAATCATTCTCAGCTAAGAAAGTTTTGACCCTACATTTATGAACGGATAAAGGGATCAAAACGGCTTGAAGAATCGATGCTCAGAAAATCTCAGCCCATGGTTAACACGGTCATTCCGGATGACCGAATGACGAACCGGTTAACAGCATGGAAGGAAAGTCATTCTCAGCTAACGGTTTGGAATTTGACACTCAGATAGTCTCACCTCAGCGGTTAACATGGGAATCATTCTGGACAACCGAATGAGGAACATATTAGCAGTTTGGAGGGAGCCATTATTTCAGCTAGAGTTTGACCCTGTGGTCACGATCAAAACGGCTTGGAGGAATCCACCTCAGCTTAAGAGTTTTGACCCCGTGGATCACGAACTGAAAAGGGATCAAAACGGGCTCGGGAAAGGTGTCAGAACAAATTCGGAAGGGAGATAGTCTCGCCTCAGCTTGTTAACACGTGGGATCATTCCGGATGACCGAATGACGAACGGTTTAACAGTTTGGAGGGAGCCCCTGTCCCAGCTGAGAGTTTGACCCTGTGGTCACGATCAAAACGGCTTGGAGGAATTCACCTCAGCTAAAAGAGTTTTGACCCCGTGGATCACGAACGGAAAAAGGATCAAAACGGGCTCGGGAGAGGTGTCGGATATATAAAGATACATGAGCCGAGTGATGTTCGGCAACATAGAAAGGATTATGAGCAAGAAAAATCAAAGAAAGAACAGAATAGAGACATCAACAGTTAGAGAGAAATGCCCAGTTTATTCTTCGACATTACTAGCCGGAATATACAAGAAAAAAAAGACAAGAAAGCAAAAATTTACAAGGCTATGCTACTGAAGGATTGCCGTTCGGGGAAGGTGGAGGTTGAGAGCTCCTTGCCTGCACTGCATCATCAGGCGCTGCTTTTGACCTTTTCTCCATGATCCGGTCGTATGTGTTCCCGAACAGATCGTCAAAGCCTAATTCATCAGGGTCGAACGGCTTGGGGAAATGTTCTAGGATCAAATCAAGGTTCCTATCCAAAAGCAGATCCTGACTTTGCATCACAGTTTTCTCGGTCAGGACATCCAAGAAAGATTTCCCTTCCGGCGTGCTGTGCAGGAGATCAATCCCTGCCTTGATGGGATCCTCGCTTTCGCGTAAGAATTGGCCAAGATGAGGTCCCAGGAATTGCCGGGATGTGTTCTCCAGAGCGACGTTCAGCCCTTTGCCTCGTTGATAATCAACTATTGATTGATTTGCGATCTGAGAAGTGTTGACCGTATAAGGTTCGGGCAGATGGTCACCAACGGCTTTATCAAATTTGATCCCAGCGAATTCAGCAGCCCGCACCTTGGCCCAGAGTTCTTTAATCTCCCGGTCGCGACGTCGGGATTTTTCTTGCATTTCAGCCAGAGCAGCTTTTGCCTTCTCATCTTCCTTGGCCCGTTCTTGTAGATCAGCCGCTAATTTCCGAGCGGCAGAAAGAAGGACCTGGCTGTCATCCCGATCGCTGGCCAGGGCCTTCATTTCCTTTTCGGCCGCAAGAAAGGCCTTATGATAGTATACACCAGTCTGAAAACAAGTTGCAAATGAAGTCAGATAAGATAAACCAATAAAGAATAGGAAGGTAT